GCATTTATGAAGTCTGAATAAACGACTACACACAGACACTTGCTCTAGGGTACAGCTGCTTTCAGCCCTTTCAAAGAAATATAAACAGAAGAGCTGTTGCAAATTTGTGCAGGCAAGATTGCTAAAAAACCCCGAAATGACATGAAAGAAATGTACAATCAGTACTTAACTACATTCAAGGCCCAGAAATATGCCAGCTGCTACCTCTTTTAGTGGGCACTCTAAAACCATATGAAGATTTCATGTATTTTCAGTGAGACAACTGACGTGGTTCAGGGGGTTGGGAAGCTCGTCTTGTAACCGGAAGGTTGCTGGTTTGATCCCCAGCTCTGTCCGTCCTGGTCGTTGTGTCCTCGGGCAAGACACTGCACCGTACTGCCTACTGGTGTTGGCCAGAGGGGCCGATGGCGCGATATGGCAGCCTCGCTTCTGTCAGTCTGCCCCAGCTGTGGCTACAACTGTGGTTTGCCTCCACCAGTGTGTGAATGAATAGTGGAATTGTAAAGCGCTTTGGGTGCCTAGAAAAGTGCTATATAAATGCAATCCATTATGATTATTATTATTAATTAATAGTGATATTTGTCTATAATTAGTATTTTCTCTTGGTTGAGGTCTACACTGCCATCCAGAGATGACAATGCATATCTCTGACAATTTCTTACTTTGAAATATAAAAATTCATCCTAATACAATAACTGATCTTTTTTAAAAATGTATTTATTTATTTATTTTAGAATTTGAATCAGTGTATTATATCTCTGGGACCTTATGTGTCCTTCTGCACATAAGGTCCATGCCCATGAGCATACAGACAAAGCATGAAAGGAAGAGGAGGGGTATGATATTTGTTTGTTAAATAGAATAGAAGCGTGTCAACCGAGACATCAGGTCATGTGGGACGCCACTGACACCGTGGGGTTGTAGGTGCAGGGTTGCAGCGAAACTTGACTTTGTTGCCTGCCTGAATAACGGCTACGCACAATTTATTTTTCAGATCTTTTTTTT